GAGGGTATTAGGGCAAGGAAGTGTCCGCCACGCTGCCCCAATGCGTGTTGGCGAACTTCACATGTCTACGAAAGATTTTTTTTTCTTATTTCTCAGACATGCAGGTTTCCTCACGATGTTTTCCTTCACCGCCGAGCACGTGGTAAATCAGCACTTAAAATTGCAATTAACAATTTCATTGGTGCCGGCGGGGATCGAACCCCGGTTTGTTCGCGTACTGTGAAATTTACAGCGAGCGCTATCCATCTGAGCTACCACGGCTCGTAATAAATAAAACGTAATTTAAGAATTTTATCCCGTTTAATTTTTTTTTGTTTTAGCCGTTCACGGGTCACGAGGGAGATAATTCGCAATGTCTTTGCGTTGCTGAAGTAGTTTTCTTAGAAATTCGACTTACTAACCGATATTTAAACAATAAATCTCACCACCATCTTTCACAGTTTGCTACGTAGGATTTCTTTGATTTTTCTGTACTGTTGTTTGTATCTTGTGGCAGTAAACACCTGGACCCCGAATAGCACGTCAAGCAAAAGCATGGGGTATATACTTTTGCTTGACGTGCTATGATAAATGTGCGATGTAAATGTGTCTTTCTATTCATAAAAATGCATTATAAATTTCATATTTAAATTTTAAGAATATTTTTTTCAATCTGTGCCTCAAACATCCAATACGCTACGCTACGCTATATACAACATGTAACAAAAACCCGGTGTTTCCTGTTAACTGCGTCATCATAATCAGTATTCAAACGTATAGAAATATATTTTTTTTCAGAAAACTCGACCAAAATTTATATACAGTATAATTAATTTTTTCGACTTATAAATTATATTTTATAACTGTGATTCTGTAAAAAACCTGGAGTTTTCTAATAGCTGTTGGAATCGAAAAATTTCTTGCTTTTGTAAAGATAGAAATTATCCTCGATGTTCTTAACAAATCTGTCTGTTTTGTAATCTGCTAAATTTAAAATCCTGCTTGAAGTGTCCAGTGCTGCACTATCAACCATTTAATTCTTCTTACTGTAAATTATATTATACGATCCGTCTTTGCATTGCTATTGGAAATTATAACATCAACTCCCAAAATGATCAAGTTAATCCTTCCCTTCCTCTTTCCCATTTTTACTTAATATACAACACGTAACATAATTAACGCACTTTGCGAAAGTAGTTTGTTCAAAATCGTTTACTGAATCGATTCCTATCATTTTTAATATAGGTAATTTTTTATCCCAAAAATAATTAAAACTACGTAAATTACAGTCACATTAAATCTGTACAGTCAGAACAAACTGAAATGGACCGTAATTTAAGCCAATAAGACTTTTAAGAGTGCAGTTTTATTGTCATCCAATAAAAATAAAGAAAAATTAACTTTATTTTAAGCAACGGTAAAGTCTTTGCGTTCGTGGATTTGTACTGTGACCACAACATTCTTCCGGAAGTAGTATAACTAATTTGATAAATAATCAGTGCATAAAAATGTTTAACTAAAAATTCAGTGTATGTATTATGATTATAACATAATATACTAATTGGGGTGTCTGAGGGTGTGCGTTAATTACGTTACATATAATATATATAGATATAGATATATAGATATATACAAGAATTGCTCGTTTAAAGGTATAGGATATAATGTTTTTGTCAGAACGTAGTTTTCTGTTTATTTAGTAATTTTTTTAAGATTATTTAGTTTAAGATTATTTAGTTTTATGCCGAATTAATAGTCTATTCAAGCGTTGGCGCCATCGATCGTCTGTGTCTACCACTGCGTTACAGCGTATTAGAACAGAAAGGTTACAAGATGAAAGTGATAAAAACAAGTTCAAATATAGACTAAAACAAAATATAAGTGGTTTGGATGAATTATGTATGAAGGAGTTAGACTTGGAGAATATATGGCAAAATGTAAAGAAGGGTTTAGTGGATGCAGCTACCGAAGTATGTGGTGTTAGTAAGAGAAAGAATGAAAGGAAAAATAATACGTTATGGTGGGATGATGAGATACGTATGGAAGTTGAAGCAAAGAAGAGAGCATGGCTAGATTTACTAGCAACAAAGGCTGCTAATTCTAGTGGTACGAATGGTGATATTGAAAGAAAAAAGGCAGTCTTTAGACATCTTAATAAGAGAGTAAAAGAAGTAGTTGAAAGAAAAAAGCAAGAAAGAACGGATAAGAATGATAGAAGAATATCGGATAACTTCCAGGCAAATATTAAAATGTTCTGGAAACTTGTAAGAACTGCCAGGGGACATTCAAAACAGCCTATGATGAATGCTATAAGAGACGAGAATGGCTATATTCTGAATGATGAAGTTTTGAGTTTAAAGAGATGGAAGGAATATTTTGAAAGCGTGTTTATGAGTGAGGAGACAACGTGTGTACTAAGTGAAATAGAAACACCGAAAGAAGAGGAAAGAGGTAGCGAGATAAGTATAGATGAAATAATGAAAGCAATGAAAAGCATGAAAGCAGGTAAGGCTGCCGGATATGATAGAGTTTCACTCGAAATTCTAAGGGCTGGAGAGGAAGTGGTGGCAGGCCTGCTGCACACCTTGTTTAATTTATGCTGGGAACTGAAGCGGGTACTGGTAGACTGGTGCAAAGCCGTGATAGTCCCAGTATATAAAGGAAGAGGGTCGCAGCAGGACTGTAAAAACTACCGTGGCATCAGCCTTCTTAGCATTGTGGGAAAACTGTATGCTAAGGTACTGATTGAAAGGGTCATGAAAGAAACTGATGGAAAAATTTGGGATGTGCAAGCGGGATTTAGAAAGGGAATGGGATGTACAGATCAAGTCTTTTCCATGCGCATGATCGTGGAAGAAGTTTCTGGCCAAAAACCAAAAGGTTTTTTGTGCGTTCATGGACTTGGAAAAGGCCTATGACAGAGTGGATAGGGATTTGCTATGGGAAACACTGAACTCATTTGGATTGAGCACTGGCTTGATACAGGCATTGGAGTCTCTTTATAGGGACTCTAGTGCTTGTGTTAGGATCAACGGGGTCTACTCGGACTGGTTTGACATCCATAAAGGTGTCAGACAGGGCTGTGTGGCTTCCCCGTGGCTGTTCAACCTATTTATGGACAGTTGTTTTCAAAATTTGAAAGTTGAAGAATGCGGATTAAGAATGGGTGAGTTAACCGTCAAATGCCTTTTGTACGCCGATGATCAAGTTATTCTTGCGTCGTCGGCGGCCGACTTGCAAATGATGGTTACATTAATGAGCGGATCATTAAAAGAAAGGGGTATGAAAGTGAACGCAAGTAAGACGAAGGTTATGGTGTTTTTGAAAGAGAAGAAAGTAAAACGATTTGTGAAATAAGAATAGAAGGGGAGTTGATCGAGCAAGTAGATGAGTTTGTATATTTGGGCTGCGTATTTAGCAGGGATGGGAGATATGATAAGGATATAGAACGACGAGTGAATGCGGGAAATAGAGTAAATGGGGCCTTGCACTCTATTGTGAAGTGTCAAAAAAGGCACGTATGGCAATTCACAATGCTGTGTTGGTCCCTACTTTAACGTATGGTAGTGAAAGTTGGGTGTGACAAAAGAAGCACGAGAGTAGAATAAACGCAGTAGAAAAGCGGTCGTTAAGGAGTATGTTAGGGCTGAATCTGAATGACAGGGTAAGAAATTGTGTAATAAGAGAAGAGTGTGGTTTGCAAGATGATGTTGTGACCAGGATTAAGAAAGGAATGCTTCGGTGGTTTGGTCATGTGGAAAGAATGAATGAGGAAAGAGTGACAAAGAAAATTTATAGTGCAGAAGTGAATGGCAGAGTCGGAAAGGGACTTCCTAGGCGAAAATGTATCGACCAAATTGGCGATTTATTGAAAACGGGCCAAATTAGGAGTACCCTTAACCGACGAGCATGTATGCGTAGGTGTATGGATGTGAAGGAGGCAAGAGAGGTGTGTCAGGATCGTGCCAAATGGAAGTCTGTAGTCTCTGCCTACCCCTCTGGGTGACAGGCGTGAGTGTTTATGTATTTATGTATGTATGTATTTTTTAAGATATTCGAAATTGCTTTCGAAGTTAAAGTTACGGGTTACATAAGTCGGATTGCTGGTCCCAAGCCTCCTCAGATATTGTATATTTCATTTCTCTCTATCATATTGTTGTTTTTCCGTCAAAGTGCGCTTCTTGTAGAGGTATAATATTTTACACTTGACGGTAAAAACTAACTAGACTCCTTTAACGACTTGTAGTATATTATTCTGGTTGAAGTCCCTCATGACATATGGTAGTACAGCAGGCACACGCTTGTCTGTGGTCGGTTTCACTCGGTCACTGTGACGTAGTGCGGTATCCGAAGCTTGATGTCGTGTAATTGGGTATTACACCCATTGTCAAATAAGTTTTAAATGAATTCTAGAGTGCTAATGAGACACTATAATTTTATACAATTTTTTTTAAACCGAATAGGGTCAGTAAAATTACTATTAATCTATCGTTTAAAAATTTCGCACGAAAACGCTAGCCGCCATCACAGATTAATAAATAGTCCGCCATGCTGATCAGCTCGTGACGTCACTGCGCTTTTGCAAAGGAATAAGATATTTTGGATGTTTAATATTGAGTTATCTTTATTATTGGTGTATTGTGCCTGAATGCAAAAATACGAGCATCAGAACACCGGGAAAGTTGTGGATTCAAGTGCCAACTGATTTATATGGGAAATACTTGGTTAAACTGGCAAGAAGAGATCCGAAGACACTGTCATCAAAAACATCGGTTAAGAACATCGAGGATAATTTATCTTTTTACTAAAGCAAGAGGTTTTTCGGTTCCAACAGCTTTTCGAAAACTAGGTTTTTGCAGAATCACAGTTTATGAGGGTATAAATAATAAATTACAAAATAAGTTATTATTGGTATCAATATTAAAGCATTTGTTCGTTTAAATAATTCGTAAGAAAAATAAACACGCTTATTACCAGTTTAATATTTAATTCGTAAAAATACATAGAAATGAGTTTGTCCATTACTTCGCAGTCACATGACAATCGCCTTCGCTGTTTCCCTTTACCAAATCGGACAGTTCCTTAAGCGAACCTCGAGATGTTTCTTCTGTGATATTATGTAAACGTGGAGAATCTGTGCAATTGCTTAATCTTTCACATCGAGGAAACTTAAAATTGGAATAATTTTTTAATGTTTCGGATTCCTCAGGTTCTGTATCGATGTTTAGATTAAAACACCGGCGATATTTACGGAATGTGTTCGTTAATCGTGTAAAAAAACTTTTCTTTGTCGATTTTGGTTTGGGGAAGGGTAACACTTTGTTCATAGTGAGTAAAATCTCCGGTTCATCCGGTACATCAAAACCAAATTTAACTTTTGATTGAGTTTTTCGAAGTTCCGGAACAATGCAACTATCTGTACTGAGGTTACAGCAGCTCTGACTTGCTTTCTGTCTTGATGAACGATTGCGACATTTTTCTTGCAGGCGCTCGTTAAGAAAATTGACACTAGCTGTGTAAAATTCCTCTTCATCGTCAGGTCTTTCCAATGATGTGATTAAGTTAGGCTCGTTTTCTTGACTATTTTGTATAAATTTTAGAGATTCGTGCCTTTGCATTCCTTAAGCACAGGTTTTGTATTGCTGTTCATTTTTATTTGATCTCCAAGATTATCTTTCACAGTTTTAATAAATAAACAAACAAAAAATAAATCACTTATAAGAAATGGGTGCAATAACTGACATCAATTATTTTTATGTGTCAAAATAAAATGTCATAAGAGAAAAAATAAAGAAGGTTTTATGTTCACATATCTTTGAGGTTAGTTAAAAAGCCTACCTATATATTTTTATTTTGTAACTGCAAAATAAGAAAAAAACTCACTAAAACTGATTATTAAATTTATGAGCTATAAGTTAAATTTTTCATTAAGCTTTTCACAAAATGCTTCAGGATTATGCCCCGTGTGAATTTTTTATAAGACTAGAGCCACACATTTTAATCTGCATTATACGCCTTACGCATTCATTTTTTTTCATGGGCATATTGCATATCAATAACGTTTTACATGTATTTTTATCCTGCACTGTCCAGTAGATTCTTTGCACACTCTCCCCATTGTTATTATGACCGTCACTATCAGTTTTGCCAGATTTTGTCAGGCAAAGCGGAGTTTTGAAACCGTTTAAGTAATTTATTCGATTAAAACAGGACACAATAAAAAACTGAAATACTACGTAGTGATTTGAAATTTTGAATTTACGCGAACACTACACATTGAATAAAACTATTATTTACGGATTTTATCGCGTTTAATTACTATTTTAAATGAAATAAAAACAATAAAAATAAATTAAAGTAGTAATTAAACGCGATAAAATCCGTAAATAATAGTTTTATTCAATGAAATACTACGTGTACCACAAAGAAATAAGTCGCAAATACGAATAAATGATATCAACTCTTCGTACTACTTGTACTTCCTACAAACTCATAAAACATATTTAAACTTTAAAAATATATTAAATGAAACTTAACAACGAAAAGTTCAGCTTCAAGCTACGGATTTCAATCCCAAAGAAGGAAAACACTTCAGAAAGTCGGTAACTTCTAAATGTTTAGAGAATTTCATGGTTCTGTAGAAAATTATGGTATTAAAATTAAATTTAAAGTTACAGCCTATATACGTCCAACTGCTGGGCACAGGCCTCCCCTCATTTCTGAGAGCGTTTTAGGGTAAGGAAGTGTCCGCCGCGCTGCCCCAATGCGTCTTGGCGGACTTCACATGTCTTCGAAATGTTTTTTTGTCTTATTTCTCAGACATTTCAGGTTTCCTCACGTTTTTCTTCACCGCTGAGCACATGGTAAATCAGTACTTAAAATTGCAATTAACAATTTCATTGATGTGTCCGCCATGCTGCCCCAATGCGTGTTGGCGGACTTCACATGTCTTCGAAATGTTTTTTGTCTTATTTCTCAGACATTTCAGGTTTCCTCATGTTTTTCTTCACCGCTGATTACGTGGTAAATCAGTACTTACAATTGCAATTAACAATTTCATTGATGCCGGCGGAGATCGAACCCGGTTTGCTCGCGTAATTTACAGCGAGAGCTAACCATCTGAGTTACCGCGACTCTCATTATAGAATTGGTTCAAAATAGATAAATAAATCTTACCTGCATTTAGAAAATGTGCAAAATCAAAACTAATAAATTTGTTGAATACCCGAGCACACCAGTTCCCAAAAGCAGCACTCGTTCGCAAATATGACGCATGTGGCAGCGCACACAGCGCATGTGGTATCATCCTCCTAGATCATTTTAAAGGGAGGGGCACTATACGTCACATGATGCCTAGCATAACATACAAGAGTCTACTGTACACTACGATGTTATTTTACATAATAACAGTACGGGATTCCGTGATCTGTGGGATCGTTTTACATCATCATCACCATTGCAACCAATACTAGTCTGCTGTACATAGGAGTCCCCGCAGACTGGCTCGTAGTAAGATATTTGCTATAGTTGCCAGTTGCCACGCTTGGGAAGCGGGTGGAGAAACCGCAGTTTTTTATTGTTTCGAGTTAGTGGATTCGTAGAGGCTTCGTTAGAGAATCCCATCCCGTGGGTGTCAGAAGAGGAGATAGAGAGTAATGAAACAGGAGAGGGGCCGGCATCTTTCTAATAAACCAACTCATTTTGCAACATGTTCTTCCAGTATTATATAGCTTAATTTATGCACGTTAAGTACTTATATAATAGTTATTCATTACAATAGCATAGTCAAACAAAAAGTGCTATTAAAATATATTAATACTACTCCAAGCCTCATTGTCATTAAAATATCTTTGACATAACTCGTAATTAATACCCGCCGCTTGTATTATTTGTAATTTATTTTCATCGTGATTAATTAATAACGTTCTATAACTACCTTTACATTTTCTCAGTTTAATTACTTTTATATAGTGCTAAGAGTTTACTAACTGAAAGTGATTTCTTGTTTGTGAACTACGAGCTTAAATTAATTGCTCGCATCACTTCCCCCGCGCGCGAGATCAACGACCTTCGTCTCTCAAATCCTTCTGTCTAAACCTTTGCTTTAATTCAAGGAAAAGTCATACAACTTTCTGAGCGACACTACAACAATATTCCACATACATTTATATACATATATACATAGGAAAAGGATTTTATCATACATTCGTCTAAAGTAAAAGTAATTGCATATATACGTCTCATTGCTGGGCACAGATCTTTGCTCATTTTTGAAAGGACTAAAGAGCAGTAGAATGCAACAAATGAATAATCGCAATGCTGCTCTAACGTGTATTACCAGAAGGTAAACTTTCGTCCACAAGCATGTGGAAAATGAACACATATAATTGGTATTCATATTTTTTTTAAAAACTGAAATGGCAAACTTCATACGGGGTAAAGACACGCTGCAGCTATATTATGCTTGTAGCACGAATGCTTCGGCTCGACCGGAAAAGGACTACGCTCTCACAGAATACCAGCGTAAAATAGCAGTTTAATACTGCTGTGTTTTGTATGGTAAGAGTAGAGATCCGGAGACCCTTTTTAATCGCTAAGATTCAAAACGCAGAATGCTTTGTCACCACTGAGGACTAAGATAGAATTCCTCACAGCCTGTATTTAATACTTCTCTTCTTTTCTGACTGGAACCACTGCTGTTGGCGACAGAAAAAAGGTTTATGAGAGTGGAGTTTGGCCAATTCCTGTTTTGTCGTTTGAATAATGGTTTGAAGTGGATTTTGATTCGTAAAAGTGATGCGAATTTGTGAATTAAGTGTCCGTGCGTGTGAAATATTAGAGAAAATGACGAAACAAGTGCTTTGATGTCGATATAAACCTCAAGTTATTTTGATCGCTTAAGCGCCTTATGAACTTCAGTGGTTATCGTCATCAACTGTCCGCTGGGTTGAGCTGTCTTCCAAATCTCCCATGGGCTTCGCAATGTGACGCATCAGCATATTGTGAAGAAAAAGAATATTAAAATGAAGATTCCGAAAGAAATGATTAAAAGCCAGTTAATAAAAAAAGAAGGTGGTATTTACCCAGACGGACCTCTAAGTAGAAAGGATACCTAAAACCTAGTATCGTCTTAATGTATATACACATTACCTTATTAACAATATATTTTAGGCTAGATTTTCGAATTCTTTGTAGAATTTAAAATTTTCGAATTCTTTGTGTAGGCACGTTTTACGTATGTAGGCACTGACCTCTATGTAGTGGACATGTAGGTATATATATATATATATATATATATATATATATATATATATATATATATATATATATAATATATATATAGGTAGGTATGCACTTTCAGACTTATACGTGGTAAAGCCATGCTGCAGTTATATTAATGGTATAGTTGTAGCACGAATGGGTCGACTCGAGCGAGGAAGGGCCACGCTCTCACAGAATAAAATAGACAGCGTAAAATAGTAGCTTAATGCTGCTGTGTTTCGTATGGTGAGTGTAGAGAACCGGAAGTCCTTTTTAGTGGAAACGAGGCATTCCATCTTAGTGCTCACGGTTGACAACACACCTGCATTTTGATTCGTAATCGAGGATAGATGTAGATGTCTATGGGCCACGGCAACCACTTACCATCAGGTGGACTGTGTGCTCGTTTGTCATCCTATTCTATTAACAAAAAAATATGATCACCTCAGTATAATCTACTCTCTATTAGAAAAAAATAAATGTACTTTTTACAATTAAAATAACCATGGAGTATAGCGAGAAGAGCGATCGTTCTAGGCACCAGGTGGCAAAGGATTTCAAGCAGACAAGTGGGTAATTATTTTTTAACATAAACTAAAATATACTTTATGTGATGTGAAACGTCGACCAAAGACAACTCTGCTAACTCTATACTAATCAAGGGCTAGGGCCGGCACTGACTATGTATCAATTTATAACAATTTTTTTTCTATGCCTACATACTCGTATAGCCACCGAATTGTAATATGCTATTATGAAGATGAAAATGGGGTACAATATTTATTGATAGAACAAAAGGTACTTGTTTTAAACACATAGAAACTTTGCTGGGCTATTGTTTCATAGAATAAGGGTAAGAAAAGAGGACACAGTCCACTTAATGGTAGGCAGATGCTGTGGCCCATAGACATCTACATCTATTCTTGATTAAGAGTCAAAATCCAGAGGCGTTGTCACCACTTAGGACTAAGGTGGTATGCCTCGTTTCCAGTAAAAAAGGGTCTTCGGTTCTCTACACTCGCACTACGAAACACAGCAGCATTTCTATTCTTATTATTTTAGCTATTTCACGCTGGTATTCTGTGAGAGCGTGGTCCTTCTCCGGTCGAGCCGACCAATTCGTGCTACAACTATAGAGCTGCAGCATGGCTCTACCACGTAAGAACAGACGACAGTGTTAGACGAAACATGACAGTAATTACAAAGGTTTCACGTCTTATGTATTAAGACGTATTGAATATCCGGTCTATTATCGGAATATAATAGATTTCAAAAAATAAAAAAACCTGGTAATTAGTTTATTTTTTATTTTTAGTGGTTATTTGGAAGACACTACTGTCCATCTCCTGATTGTTTC